AGGATGACGACACAGCAAGCCTCGCCTGTGCCAGTAAGCATGCGCAGCCCTGCCTTCCCAGCCTCTTCTTCTCCAGGACCCCCTGCTTCCCTTCTCAAGGAGCTGTTCCTGCCTGGCACCATCGCCACTTGGCTAGTTCCCCTCGTGGCCCCTCTATTGAACTGTTGTGTTGTCCATTTCCCTGTGACAAGGGCTCTGGTTACAGAGTTATTGATTGGTTTCATGCAGACAGATGGGCCCTTCCTGGCTCCCATCGAAATCCCTGGCTGTATGGGCTGATTGTTGCCTCCCAGGGTATAGGATTGCACCAGAGACCACCCTCCACGCAGTCTCCTTTGCTCGGGCTGTGGATGGTAATAAATGGAGTCAGCCTGAGCGATAATAAAAGCAATCCAGTAGGGTTACCTGTGCAGACACAAGATTTATGCCTCTTCATATTTGATGTGATTGTTTTATTGAGTTCTCAGAACAGTTGGGACTTTATTTGTTTATTTTGGGGTTCACCCACTCTTTACCTCTTTATATCACCTTCTAAACCCAACCTGGAGTTTTTAAGATAACCCCTCATCCTTACTTCTCAAAAGTTGCCAGATGAGGTAGGAACTCAAGGCAACCAACTCCTGGAAACCCATGAGCCAACCACCGGGGATCGTCAGACCCGGAAGCCTATCACAATCTTCTCAATTCAATCCCAGAATGATAGAAGGAGAGTGCCAGCTCCTGCAAGTTGTCCTCTGACCTCCACCTGAGTACTGTGGTAGGTGTGCAACACATACACACACACAGAGAGACACACACACACACACACACACACAATAAATAAAGATGAAACGTGAAACATTAAAAACACAAGAAACAGATAAACAGCCATGCCTGTCTCACATGCCTCTCTAAGTATGGGTGACCAGAACAGCAGGGACTCTCTCTAGGAAGAATGGACGAGCATGGCTTTGAAACAGAAACCACGGAGAAGACGCTACTTGCAGCCCCTCTCAGAGAGGCCTAGAGCCCCTTGTTTTTCTCATCCCTCTTTGGGATGAAGCCTTTGTCTTAGCCCACTGACTCACGCTGACTCTGTCACCAACAGTGGTGACAAACAAGCAGCCGGGAAGATCTGAGAGACGTGGCGAGCACTGCCACCCCTCTGCCCTAGCTTCCACGCCAAGCCTGGTCCAAGAGTCAAGTCTTGGGGATCCAGACCTGGGTCTCAGAGGCAGAAGCAGACATGTTGCATGCTCTACGATGTGTCTCCAGAATTCCCATGGCTGTGATCGGTGACTAGCAGCTTACTTGGGGGAAACAAGTGGGAGACCACTGCCCACCCCAGACCAGTGACAAGCCTGAGAATGGCAGCGCAGGGGACACCAGGGTGACACCGGCTGGCAGTGCTTCACACAGCCCTGAGGCCATGGCCTTCCAAGTCAGTGCTGCTACTGGAGGAAAGTGCTCCCTCCGAGCCAAACAGGCTGAGGAAGAATAAAGGGGTGGTGATGGGTGAGCCCCAAGGGTCCACTGCAAGGATCTAAGGGTACAGAGTCCTTAACCCCAAAAAGTGTTGACTAGCCTCAAGGCCACACCCAAAGAGTCTTCAGTAGCCCTAGAGTCCACCTGGAGTTCCTGCTGTTCTCTCAGAGAAGTGGTCTCTACCCAGGGCAACAGGCCAACCTAAAGACTCAGATGTATCATCAGGAAAATCCTTCGTGCTTCGTCAATAACTCAACCTGACGAGGCAACTTTCCTCCTCTTTCGGTACGTGGATCTTCCATCTCTACCCTGCCCACAGGTCATTTCCCAGGCCAGGTTTCAATCTAAAGTTACCTGTTTACAAACACGGTCCCCAACAGTGGTGCCACACAAGCTGAAGAGCTGGCAACTCCACACTCAGCCATAAGAAGCCCAATATTTACAATGATTCAATAAATCCCAAGACCTGGTCAGAGCTAAGATTTTAGCCAAGGGTCTCTAGGTGTGGATGGTTCCCTACCACACCTTTGGCCCAGAGAGGTATTTCTACGAGGATCTGCCAGGGGAGAACCCAGGTTGGACAGCCAGGGCTTTATTGTGACGGGATCAGAGAATGCCAAAACCATTTTTAAAGCATGAGAAGCAATTTAGTTTATGGCCATAACAGCATAGTTCAAGTGCGGCAACAGCATCTGTTTCGGGGGGAGAAGACGAAAACCTTTGGCTCAGGTGGGTGAGCAGGTGTAGACTTCCTTTCTTGCCAATGTTGGCTCCTGAGCACTCTTACTTGGGACACGTATGTATGTACATACATACGTGTGTGTATGTATATGTATACATCAACAACAATAGCAGCACAGGTGGACACCCTACCATCCCCCAAGCTCTGCACTCAGGCACTCCCCACTTGAGTGCATACCACTCTCTACACACAGGGAAATCTCCAGCTGCTTCCTACAGTGAGTGAGAATCCTTAGAACAGAAAGGCCCAAGTTCCTGATACAACCTGCATCTGCAGGAATGCCACACCTTTATCAAGCATTTGCAAGAAACACTGCTCCAGAAGAACCTTCCCCTTCAGGGCGGAGTACCCACAGGAATGGTATTGATGATTGGGGTGCCCAAATGTGTCCCACTGACACACTGGGAAGCCCCAACCAATTTTTCCAAAGTATCAACCATGGGAGGATTCCTCCCAAAGCAAAATTTAAAACAGCCTGATAGATCCTGTTGACAAATTAAGCCTTGAAGCCTAACTGCGGAGCCATGGCTCTGTTGTTGGCTTCCCTGTTCCTGGCTCACGCTCCATTCACCTTCAGCAACGCCTACCCAGAAATGCCTCTTTCTCCACACCCAAAGGAAGCCTGTGTGTACCTTAGGTAACAGGACCCTGTGGCCAACAGCCTCTGTGACTGTCAGAGTGGTCGGGCTCAGGCCATTCTTTCCCTAAAGTGCATCTCACGGGCAGCCAGCTAGTTTACTTCCTTCCAGTTTGGTAGGTGCACCTTCAGACCTCTGGAGTTTGATGTCCGGGTCACTTGTTCTCTGTACTCTAGGACTTCTTTTCAGGATGAAACGTTTTCAAACTTGTGCCCAAACCAGCTTTAAAAATAGCCCAACCATCCATGGATATGTGTTGGAGGGGGAGCGGACAGGGAGGGTGCTAGGTGAGGCTGCCACCATGCCAGACCCAAATGAAGCAAATCACTGTAACAATATATGTCTCTCCCAAAGCTTGCAATTTCCATCACAGACAATAGGTGTATCTCCAAAACAGCCCCCAGGGCACCGCTCCCCAGCCCAGTGACATCACTCCTCATCTCAGCTACTCTTGGCTCTGCTTCTGTCCTGTCAAGACCTCAGTTCTAACCCACCGCAAGGACCACCACCAGCTCTAGAGGCAAAGTCTCTGAGTGGCTCAGGGGAAAAAAAAGAGGAAAAAAAAAAAAAAAAAAGCATTGTCCCTTGTCACACCTGCCTCAATACCCAAGCTTCCCCAGCCTCTTGACTTTTAAATGCAAAGCCCTTATTGCTTTCTCAAAACACCCTGTGTTTTTCTCCAGCTCTTTTGGAAAGTGTCTAAATGTCAAACAGCCACACATTTCCAGTACCTAGCTGAGCCAGGCCCAGGGAGCTGGAGAGTTTCGGAGGGTGTATAATTAGCCGATCAGTATTATGTTACCCTGTTCATAACTGAATCACCATTTTAATACAGATGGCACACACTGGGATAATTTCTGGGGTCGCCTTGCAGTACGTTACAACATGAGTGTGGCGGAGGGAATCTTCTTTAGCCAAGGTACATTCTACCAGCTAATTTTACCTGCTGTTTTCAGGATGATTTGGGATAATTCCATATCATTTGCAAAATATTAAAAAAAGATAGGTGATGCTAGTTGCAGAAAGAAACACCATCTGAATTATTAGTTGTTCTGATAATGGGCCTGTAAAGAGTTTCAAAGCATAACAGAGTATGAAACTCTTAGCTATCTTCTCGTGTGGGGGTGCCTGAGAATGGGGGGACCTGCTTCTGGCTGGAGTGTGACTTTGGCAGCCCTGAATCTCTGCATGCAATGGCTGGACTGTAACAGATCTGCAGCTCCAAAGCCAGTTTGGGATCCTGGGATTTAGTACTGCCTGAGTGTTCTGAGGTCACCCCAGACTGATACCCTGGCACACACTGGCTGGGGTACATATGCATAAAGCATAACCTTGTGGTCTCCCAGATAGCACTCCAGAGCGACCTGGGGCTTAAGAGACCTGAGTATCCTGCAAGTTGAACTGACTAGAGCCTGCATGGTCCTAGTGTCTGAACCCATCATCATGGAAAAGGTTTCAGCCTCAAGATAGGCATGCTTGGTGGTGGGGGCATCTCCCAAGAGTCAGCCACAGGGACCCAGCTCTCACTCCCTGCCTGGCATCCCAGTCCTTGTCCAGCTCCTCTACTCTCTGCCAAGTCCTGGCTGGTGGCTGGCATCTGCTCTGCAGGCCTGGATGCCAGTGCTTCTCGGCCGGAAATTTGTGTGGAGCTGGCTAGCAAGACCTGGGCTCCTGGGAGGCAAGCTTTGTGGGAGCTGCCTGAAGGGGTAAAGGAGTCAGGGTTCTGGCTGCCCCTGGGGAAGGGTACATGACTTTAGAAAGAAAAGTCTGTTTGGAAGCAGTGAATAGACAGTGGTCATTTTAAAAGCTTTGCTATGGGCTGTGATTGTCTCTAGATCCCGAGGCGGGTAATCTTGGAGTCTTAATTACCACAAACACTTGGATTCATTTTCAGGACACCGGCGGGAGAAGCCTGGCAGGGAAAACCCAGCTCTGAATTGGAAAGAGCCCTGTCTGTCTGTCTGTCTGTCTGTCTGTCTGTCTGTCTGTCTATTTCTGCCTCTCAGGTCCATTTTCCTTGCCCAAAGACTTCAGGCTGGGAGCTGGAAGGAAGGGTAGAGGCTGGTCAGAGCAAGGATGGGCCCTGGGAGACGGCCCAACAGGCAGGAACAGGGAACTGGAGTCCTGCCCTCCAGGCCCAGGGGGGCTTCGCTCACCTGTTGATGGATGAGACGCTGGGAACCGTGTCATTGTCGCAGATGCCCTCCGCTAGCAGCCGGTCCCGGATCTCCCAGGCGAACATAGTCGGGTTCTGTCGCTTGTATTCAGCAATCTTGTCCACCACTTTGGGCGTTGCCACCTTGGGCTTGGAGCCACCAATCACTCCAGGCTTGATGCTGCCAGTCTCGTAGTACCTGGGCCAGGAAGGCCGTCGGGGTCAGCAAGAAGCCGGTGGTGGCCAGGGCAGGGGGGCTGCAAGCTCCAGAGCTGCTAAGCCGCACTCCCTCCCTAGGCATCAGCGGGAAGGGAAAAAGGCCCCGTGTAGCTGAGCAGACTCCGGAAGGTGGTGACTAGCGTGGAAACGGGCATAGTAGCTAGGCGTGGAGAGTGGCCAGAGCGGGGACCCCGGGAGTGGAAGTCTGGCCTTCCATTTGGGAAGCAGAGAAGGACCCATGCTGGGAGAGCTGATTCCCCCTGAAGCAGAGGGTCCCTTTGGAACCTGAACCCTCTTTTCCTAATGCTGCATTTTCTCATCTTGGGACCCCCTTCTTCCAACCCCATTCACATGGATTAGCTGGGGGGGGGGGAAATCCCTCCTTTTCAGAATGTAGCTGCCTTCCTCGAAAGGGCCCCGGAGCTGGGTTACGCTGGGTAGACTCTGCTCCATCCTCACTCCAAGGCCTAGCCATCACTTGAATGCCCGCCTCCAAAAAGGGGCAGCCAGTCTTTTAAATCCCTTCAAGTCCGGACCTTCCTTTCCTGCCCGGCATCTCAACTTTTAACTAAAGCCTCAGCTGGGAAGGGAGGCAGCACCCAGCCCTCACCTGCCCAGGATTTTGCTGACACAGCCATGGCTGACCCGCAGCTGCCGGGAGATGTCACAGGGCCTCACACCCTGGTGGGCCAGCTCCACGATGCGCTGCCGCACCACGTCGGGTAGGGGCCGGCCGTTCACAAACACCCCCCCGAGCTGGTTCACACCCCCGTGCCCTGCTGGGGAGAGACAAGAAAAAAACACAACACCCCACACACAGCAGGGACCGGCCATTAGTCAGGGTCCGAGGCCCGGCACGTGCGAAGGGAGCAGGCAGGGCTAAGGGGCATATCCCGGGGCGGGGGACTCGGGGAGAAAGGCGGCTAGGTGGGCGTGCAGGGTAGAGGAGGATTAGACATCAGAACCCCAGGCTAGCTGTAGGAACTGAGAAGCTGGACTGGGGAAGAACCCGCCCCCTCAGACTAGTGCGCTGCCAAGGAGAAAGTGCAGGAAAAGCAGAGGAGCCAGGGGAGAGAGGAGAGGCGAAAAATGGAGAGGGGAAATAAACGACAATGGGGAATGATATCAGTAGGGATGAAAGCAGGGAGCTAGGGAGAGGACGCACCGGGCCAGGGACAGTACTGCTGCGGGCTAGGAACCCGCCTGCGCCGCAGGCTAGGTGCGGCTTGCGTATCACCAGGGCTTGGAGCTAGATGATTTTGGAGGGTCGGGGTCCTCTTGACTCAGCGGAGTCCTCAGTGTAGAGAGGGACTAAGTCAAACGCACCCCCTTTTCACCTTCGCTGCCTACCTCTCCCCTTGTATCTATTTTTAATTGTAATTGTATGGTTTCCTCTTTCCCTGTTTTTCCGTTTTGTTTTTATCGGAAGTTCTTTCTTCCTTTTATGTTTTCTGTCTTCGGGTATTTTGAACCATATTTCCCCTCTGCATCCCTAATGGCTAAGGTAGAAAGAAATCTAGGTGGAGAAGGAACGGCAGAAGGGGTGGTGATTCGGAATCCGTTGCGCTCAGAGACCGCGAGGCTGCTAAGAGTCTCGCTCTTCCGGGCAGCCGCTGAAGAACGCAGGCTGCTGGGGTTCGCTTGCCTACCACGCTGCAGCCGGCTGGGGACCCCCGGAGTCTCCCCCAACCCCAGGTGGCATGGTAGGGACCGCACCTGCCGGCTTAGGGCTCAGAGGCACTCGGTGTTGCAGTCTAAGCCAGTTCGGGACCCTCTGACCCCGCTCAGACCTCGGCAGCTGCCTAGGAAATCCAACCGTAAGGACGGATGTTCCACCGGTCAGAGCAGAGCCCTTGGTTTCCAGTCCAACTAGGCGGGAGCTCGCAACCTGGAAGCCAAGAAAGCCACCGGGTGCCGGGCTCGAGGCCGCTGCAGGCTGCCCCATTTTCCGCGGCCTAAAGCAGCGTGGAAATCCTGCACCTAGTGCGATTAACCTACAGCTGCAGTTACTCAGCACGCTAACGCAGAGACTTCTAGCGGCAGCGTCTGGCCAGACAAGGTCGGCAACCTGCAGCCACTGCCCCACGGCCTCAAGCGAGTTTCGGAGAAAGCGGGCACATCTCGCGCCCCCTTCATCTGCAACCATCTCATTCTGGGGAAATCAACACAAGCGTGGGAGAACACCCTGGCCAGAGGCCTCTAATCGAGTGGTTCCGGGAGGCCGGAACCTCTTATCTTACATCCCCATCCCCATATTCTCCCCATCCTTGGTACCACTCTTCTCCCCTCCCCTCCCTACAAACCCTGACCATCAATAATTTAGGCCCCGGGAGAACTCGCGTTACCGGTATGAAAAGGCGGCAGCTGCGGGCAGATTAAAGATGAATAATTCAGCCTCACCGGGCTCCGGGCCCGGCCCCTCTGCCCCAATATACGGGAAGGGGATTGCAACCGGCACGGCTGGAGTTCAGGGCGGATGGTCTGCGGAGGATCCGCGCTGAATCAGGCCCGGAATGTGCTACTGCCGAGGGCGCCGACCCGGGCTGTAGCTGCTCGCCCGCCACTCGGCGGCCTTGCTGGCCTGCGCAGTGCCCCTCTCCCTTCCTTCGGCTCCCTTCGGCTGCCTTTGCTATCTTTTTGGTTTCGAAGTGGTTCCCTGAGACTGGCCCTGACTGGCGCGTCCCGGAAGCAATTCTCAAAAAAATTGAGCTAGGCAGTGGCAGCCGGGCTGAGACAGGCCGGCCGCCTTGGTGAACCGGCGTGTAGACTCGGTTTCATTCCCTCCGAAAAAAGAGCTAGGCTTCCCGGCCGCCGGAGACACCCGCTGCAGCCCCAAGTCCCTGGCTTGGGTTTCCTTTACCTAGAAATCATTTCGGGAACTGTATTTTATTCCAGGAGTTTGGTTTTTTTTTTTTTTTAATTGTCCCGTGAAGTTAAATGTGTGCTTAGGAAACAAATAAACAAAACACGACTGTCTTATTGGATCACATTTGAAGCACAGATGGAGGCTAGGTCTAAAAAGTTACCTTGTGGAAAGTTACAAATTATCCTTAATTATTAATCTATAGATGGGGAGGGTTTTCTACTTAGAATATTATTTATCTTTTTAAGCAAAGGAAGATACCTGACAAATAGTTTTCCAAGTTAAAGACCTAGCATGAATTAGATAAATTCAAAATTCATTAAGACATCCTCCTCGTTTCCTGTTTTCCTGTTTCTTCCCCCCCCCAATAACATCCTTTCAATTTTCTTTCCTTGATTTCCCCTCGTTTTGATTTCTCTTCCCTTTCTCCTCAGCTTTAGCGGTTGTCTTCCTTTTGTTCTTTCCCTCTCATTTTTCCATTCTTGCTGACCCCCTGGCCAGGGCGCTGGCTGCATGGTCCTCAACAGAGAGTGGAGGCCGGCAAGGAAGTCTCCAGAACGCAGAGCATCCAGGAGCTGGATTGGAAGGCTCTAATACTCGCGTTCTTCCTGACTTTGACTTCTTCTCAAAACCTCTTATTGTTTTTAGAAAGATCACTTCCCTGGGCAAAACCAAGAAAAGTGGCTACCTTCTCCTGCCAATCTCGGGTTCCTAGCTGGAAGGGAAGGGAGGGCGGGCGGAGAGGAGAGGGTGAAAGAGAGAGCATGGAAATATTTCAAACAAGCCCCACTAGGCTGGAAGGAACCAGAGAGGCTGGGAGCTGAGGCTCAGAAGGGGGTCACACCCCCAGGAGCTTCTCCACAGCCGTCCTGACAGCGAGGCTGCACTAGCTAGGAGCCTCCTCCTGATCAGCCACAGCTCTAAGTTTGAGAAAGGTAGACACGAGAGGAGGGAGGAGAGAGAGAGAGAGAGAGAGAGAGAGAGAGAGAGAGAGAGAGAGAGAGAGAGAGAGCCCGAAAACTGACAATCCTCCAGTCCAGTCAGGGCAAAGGCTAGGGAGTAGTGGGAGGCTGGAACCTGGGCCCAGGGCTATGGATCCCGCGAGGTAAGGAGGAGCAGGTGGAAAGAGGAAGCAGGTGAAGCACTAGGGGAGGTAGAAAGGCCGACAGAACGATGGGCACGGGGTGGTAAAAAGCAGAAAAGAGAGTGACTGAAGGCATGAGAAACACTAGGTTAGAGAAATAGGCAGAAGGCAAAAGGAAGGGCCGGGGGAAAAGCCAGTGTGGCCTCTAGGATGAGACCTGAGCGCAGGGGGCCGGGCCGCGCTGGGGCTGGATGGGTTTGGAACCGAGACAAGAGCCGGGCGCCGGTACTCACGGTGCATCGCGGAGAAGGGATCTGCTTTGCAGTGCATATCCATGGGGAGGCAGAGGAGCGGGAGCAGCGCGGCCGCCGCCGCCGTGTCGCCTCTCAAACTCAACTTCAGGACTTGAGGAGAAAAGGAAGGGACGGTGGGGGAGGGAGGGTGAGCGGGCGCCCGGCTGCTGCGGGGCACGCGAGGGCGGGGGGCGCCGCGCCGCGCTCCCCGCCGGGACTCCTCCGGGCCCGCCGGGGTTTGCAACCGCAGCGGCTGCAACTTGCCACCGTCGGGGCACGCGGCTGGGCAGTCAGTAAAGCAGCCCCCGGGCGACGGGCTGGGCCAAGGGGCACAGGGGGCGCATGGCTCGCGAGCCAGCTGCGGCCAGAGCTGAGGCCGGGTGGGGACGACGGCTCACTCAGCGCCCCTGGAACCCGGTGGCCCGAGAGGCTCTGAACGGAGAGGGCTCAGGGCAGGGGCGGCCCGAGGGCGCCGGGAGGGGAGCCGGGCCGCGCCAAGTGCCGGCGAGTTGGCGAAGTTGGCAGAGAAGTAGCAATCCCCGGGATGTCCAAGCGGGCGCCCGCGGGAGGGGAGCGCGCGAGCCGGCCCCCGCCCCCGGAAAAGGCAGGCGCACGCCGCGGCGGCCGGAGGGCCAGGGAGGGAGGGAGGCAGCCTAGGAGCCGAGCGGCGCCCGCAGCGCTGTGCTGGCCCCAGGTGGGTTGCGGCTGCAAGAAGACTCGGCCGGAGACTGGAGCCTGGGCTCCCGGTGTGTGTCTCTCTAAAAGCTGCAAAGCCCCCTCCAGACCCCCTCCTCCTCCCCGCGCCGGGAGATGGATGACTTGTCAGACAAAGGCAATAGATTCCACCACTCTGTGATTCGCCAGCGCCGGAGCCCCGAGCTTCGGCAAGGAGGGCCCCGCGCCTGTCACTCCGGTGCCGGCGAGGGGAGGGCCGGGGAGGGGGAAACGGGAGGGAGCAGCGGGCGAAGGAAGAGGGAGGGTGAGGAGCGGGCCAGGGGGAGGAGGACTAGGAGCCCGGGATTAAAACTACACTGAGAAACGAAACTCGCCGAGAAGATAAACGTTAGATAAGGATAAAGAGCGGCCAGCCTAATGAATATTCAGGCAACTACAGAGGGCCTTGGAGCGCGCCGCGCCCCGAAGCCAGGCTCTCCGTCCTAACTCGCCCAGCCCTGCCATCCACCGGCCAATGCCCGCAGATCCCACCGCCCGCGGGTCCGCATCCTTAGTCCTAACTCGGCTGTCCTCAGCGCTGAGTTCCCTTCCGCTCCTCCCTGTGTCTTCCTTCCTCCATCCCTCTACCTCTGGTCCTTCCCTTTCGCGTTTCCCTCCTGTGGTACCTTCCCATCCACGCACGCCTGATTCTCATTCCGGGGCAAAGTGCCCAGCAGTTTGTCCCCTCCCGTCCCACACGCGGTGGCGCGCACCCCCTCTCCGGAGTCTGGGCAGTCCAGAATGCTTGGTTTAGAATCAAACCGGAGGCCTCTGGCTAGGACCCACCTGCCTTGGTGGGACCCAACGGACGGCAGGAGAGCCAGGGAACTTGGCTCCTGGACCCTCGGGTAGCTAGGGAGGGGATTGGGCCGGGAGACAGTGCGCAGCGGCTTGTGGGCTGCAAAGGATGCAGAAGCCCAAGGCGGGACCAAGACGCTCTCTCTCCCCGGCTGGGGAGAAGAGGAGGCTGTGAACGCGGCTGAGCGCCGCCCGCCGCTAGCTCTGCGGATCCGGAGCGAGCGCAGCCGGCGCAGCACGCCGGCCTGGCCCGGCTTCTATCCGAGCCGCTGGCCCAGTCTCTGCAGCCTGACCCGCGCTCGCTCCCTTGTTCGCTGGGGTCCTCTCGCACGCACTAGGCAAGAGAAGCCCTTTGTCTCCTAACTGGTTAAGTACAGAATATCCGGGAGATCTTTATGAAATATTTTCCCTCGTCTCATAAATCATCTTGGCACTTCAGCTGATGTTTTAACTCTCTCTCTCCCCCCTTCGCTCCCTCCTCCCAGGCTTCCCTGGGTCTGAGAAAGGGCGGCTCCGGGAAGCTCGAGCTGCCAACCACTGCTTTTTTGCCTGGCGGACCCGAGACTCTCGGCATTGTCTGCAGCTCCTGAGGCCCAGAGGAAGGACAGTGAGTGGATTCGTGCCCCTGTCCCTATGGCCCAAAAGCCTCAGCAGTAGTTGGGATTGGGGGGAAGCACCCACCAGACTCAGCCCGACTCAGACTGACTCCTACTGGGCATCTAGAACCCTGGTTCTAGAAT